TTAGGCCTAACAGACGGAGTACTGGTATGACTCCACTGGTCCTCAGCGCCACATCAACCTACGAACACATAAAACGGAGATGCAGGTGATGTGGTCTAGCCACATTCAATTGTGGTCCACAGTGGGCCAGAATGTGGATTCTCGCCTACTGTAATCTCAATCTACGTTTGCGTGAAGAACATCCGCCATTTGAGCCACTGCACCTTTGGCAAAGTAACACATGTCGGGCAAAGCTGTTTTTGCCTGGTCCTGATTGATGAAGGTTCTACCGGTGAGAAAGTTATCGAAGTGATTGAAAATATGGTAGTCGGTTGGTGAGGGATCTGGAGAGTATGGAGAGTGACTTGTAAAACGTGCGGACGGTCGTTGTCATGAAGCAGGATCGTAACGCTTCTATTGACTAGTGTCGGCTGCTGCCGACCAAAAAATTATCGTTCTGATTGCGCAAAAGCAAATAAGAATAGACCTCGAAACGTGAATTTTTGTCGACCGTTCAAATCGTGAGGCATCCAACCGCCAACCTCCAGGAGAGTGCTGAGATTCTTATGGAAACTCACTTCCCAGGTTCTGTCTTTCCTGGAACGACGAACTGGACGGATGTACCAACAACACCCTCATAAGACGACTGGTAATATGCTAGTACAGTAATTGATGAGGACAAAATAAGATGGGCTATATCGGGCTCCTCCCCCTTCAATTCACCAGGACCTGACGGTATAAGTCCAGCCCTACTTCAGTGGGGACTGGACACTCTCATGCCGCACCTGATTGGAATATTCAGAGCCTCTCTAGCTCTGAGGTATATTCCCAGTTAGTGGAGATAAGTAAGAGTATTATTTATACCCAAACCAGGTAGGATGGACTACACCCTACCAAAAGCATTCCGACCAATTAGTCTCACATCGTTTTTCTTAAAAACCATAGAGAGGCTATGTGAGCGGTACATAAGAGGTGAAGTACTTGTTAACAACCCACTTCATCCAAATCAGCATGCAGTAGTTATCTTTTTGTCAACGCCATTCTTTTGCCTGCTATAAAGCAGTTGAGTTAGTCTATTGTTGAACTCGCAAGTAAACTCTTTCAATATGTTACTTTGATGCATCCTCTTTTAGAGGTATCAACTGAATTGTAAAGCGTTTTAGCGTTTTCAGAGATATACAAAACGACAATTCCATCCTGAATGATAAAAGCAGCAAGTGATAAAAGGTAATTATTGTAAATACCACTGCCTTTTTTGTAGGTAAATATAATGCGCCATTGCCCGCCAATGTTATGACAATAATTAACTTCGACAAAATGGTTTAGACTTTCGCGGCTGAGGTTTTCAGTGTCACTGTTTTTCGAGTTTGAAAGCCGTGGATTTTTGGAATTTCCTCCTGACGTTTCGCTGGCGCGAGTGGCTAGCTTCTTCAGAGGTTTAACCATCACGGCTTGATGTCCGATGACTAACTTCTAGGCTTCGTAAAGCGTATTTATGCCTTGTCAAGCAATCAGTTGTATTGATACCTGTACTTGTACCTGTACTTGTTAATGTTCCAGGTTCAAGTGCAGGTACAAGAACATGTACAAATACAGGTACCAATACAACTGATTACCTGACAAGGCATAAATACGCTTTACGAAGCCTAGAAGTTAGTCATTGAATAGCAAGCCATGATGGTTAAACCTCTGAAGAAGCTAGCCACTCGCGCTAGCGAAACGTCAGGAAGAAATTCCAAAAATCCACGGCTTTGAAACTCGAAAAACACTGACACTGAATAATTAACTTCAATCCTTGTCAAGTACCTACTTACCTGCTTTTATCATTTGAAAATAAAGCAAACACTCATAGAGAACTTGATGTGAAATATTTCAATTTCAAAAAATTAAAAATTCTCAGCAACATATATATAATATAGTAAAGAAATGTTACTAGATAGCGCAGATTCGTAACTGGTTATTTTCCATATATATTACAGTTGTTAATCCGTAGACAAATACAAAATTTTTCATCAACATTTTGTCAATAACTACAGTCCTGTCCTCAGGAGTACCATGCTTGTACACGGACTCGTTTGTCTATATATAGCCACCTAATTATTAAACCAATCCATGACATGTAAGATAAAAATTCACAACCTTTGCTCCTAGTACATTATTAATTTTATTTTCAAGAATTATCAATGCGTTCAAAGAAAAATGTATTTTTCTTATACAGATCCTCACGAACCAGTTTCAATAATAGGTACTGAATAATTGAATGTATAATAAATAATTACCATTGTACAAATTAAATCTTTTGAAGAATGTCGTTCGGGAATAAATTTTTAGAATATATGAGAAGTATATTTTTTCAAGGACAAATCACAAGCACTATAGGACAATTCTTAACGCGCTCTAAGAGCGATGCCCGTGCGAAAGTAGCGATTCACATTGGATTTGAATCGCTGGAGATTAAATCCATTTGGATATAACGAAGTATATTCCACATGTATGCAGATCTCCAAATGAAAAAGTTTTTCAACAGTCAAGTTCGAGGTGTACTGCAGCCACATCCTGTCACATATTTCTGATATGTACCGTTCTTGGTGGAATCGAAGACCCAAGTGCATTTTGGAATTTCATGCAGAACAAAAGAGGTAACTCGAAAATTCCCGGAGTTATGAAGGATGAAACTAAAACTTACACCAAACCGCAAGAAATTATGGATGCATTTGCAAACTTCTTTAAAAGTGTTTATATTATATCTGATGTCTCTTCATATAATACCCTTGACAACTGCACAAATAATTTACCAACAATAATTATCGATCAGTAGATATCGAAGCTGCGAGAAAACTGAACAATGAACTAATTGTCGGTCCTGATCGAATACCAAGTTTCGTAGTTAAAGATTGTATTTACCCTTTACTGAGTCCCCTACTTCATATATATATAATCTTTGTTTGAAAACTTGTGAGTTACCTGACCTTTGGAAAAAAAGCTCGGGTATGCCCAATTTTTACATTTTACATCAATAAAAAACTATAGAGCCATTTCAGTATTCAACAATTTCTCCAAATTATTTTAAATAATATTATACTCTAATATTTACAATCCAATACGAAATATCATATCAAATGATCGGCATGGGTTTGTAGAAAACAAGTCGTGCATAACCAATCTTGCATGTCTTTCACAATGTGTCTTTAAAGCCTTGGATAGGAAACTGCAGGTTGACGACATTTATACAGACATAAAAAAGTTGTTGATCAAATAGATTTCTTCATTCTTCTCAAGCGTCTCTCAGAATTTGGTTTTTCAGCAAAATTGGTGAAACTCATGTCAAACTATCTACTTGATAGAAAACATTATGTAGAGTATGAAGGCTTCAAATCTGCTTTATATACTCCCAGTTGCGGAGTGCCCTAAGGCTCGAATTTAGGACCTCTTTTGTTCTTGATTTTCATTAACGATTCAACTAAAATAATAAACAATTCAAAACTGCTCTACGCTGATGACCTTAAAATATTCAAGGTGATAAAAAATTATGAAGACTGTTTAGACTGACAGTATGAATTATATCTGATATATGATTGGTGCTCCAATAATCATTTGAATCTTACCATTGCTAAATGTCTTGTATTGTCTTTTTCCAGAAAGGGAAGTCTTATACAATTTACTTACGGAATTGATAACAATACCATAAGTCGAGTTAATGAAATGAAAGACCTTGGCATTAATTTTGATCAGAAATTCACTTTTGTTTCACATATAGACCCAGCTGTTTCATCCGCTAGTCGAATGTTGGGCTTCATAATGAGTAACACCAGAGAATTTAGAGATACTAAGGTGATAATGACGCTATTCTATGCTTATGTGAGGTCCAAACTAGAATATGGGGCGATGATCTGGTATCCAATTTATAATTCTCATATTCAGCAAATTGAAGCTGTCCAAAGAAAGTTCTTGAAATTCTTGTCTTTTCGCACTACAGGTATTTACCCCCAANATTCCAAATATGGATGTCATACGATAGAAGGTCGCCTGTTGCTCTTTGTTTCCGAAAGCCATATTGATGATCGCTCAAGATGTTAAAACCTTCCAAATATTTAGGGATATGGTGGTTTACGGCTTTCTCCATGATTTTTGATATCCCTGATATCAAAGCGACTGGTCTAAAGCTCCAAATATTTAAGGATATGGTGGTTTACGGCCTTCTCCATGATTTTTGATATCCCTGATATCAAAGCGACTGGTCTAAAGTTATTTGGAAGATTGCTCTTGCCCTTTTTGGGAATAGGTAACGCGAGCAATTTTCCAACAAGAAAAAAACCCCTTTCTAGTAAGACAGGTTGAAAAATCTGCAAAATACTGGTGCGTGTTCATTTGCGCACATTTTAAATACGATCAGGTACGATCAGGCACTTCAGTCTAGTCATGATGAAGTTAATGCAGATGAATTGATATCACACAATATATAATTGTGGAGATTCGAATACGGTGTTCTGTTACTTGAAATCGTTCAAAACAAAGTTAATGAATACCCAAAGAGAGTACACTATTCACAGGGAAATTACATGCTATATTGAAAGCATTAAATTTCTCCAAAGTTAGGAATCTAACAAAATGCCTTATTGTGACAGACTCGCTGAATGCGCTTGAGGCAATTGAAGAACTGTACACCAGCCACCCCATCTCCTCATGAAAAGAGCTATACACTCTCTGCAAGAAATTGAAGAATCACAAATTCATTTTATGTGGATTCCATCACATATAGAAATAGCAGGTAATGAGATGGCAGCAACGGAACTTCAAATTGCGTACCGAGATCTGAAACCCTTTTACAAACATATCCTTTCCAACTGTTGGCAATCCCAATGGAACGAATCATCCTCAAAATTATCCAGCATCAAGGCATCGGTTCTACCATGGAAGAACACACCTGATAACAGGCGAAAACAAGAAAACCTCTCACGACTTCGACTGGGCCATACACGCTCTACTCATGGAATTCTTTGCAATTTTTTTGAATCACTTACCTTCTGGACTCATTCGCTCTCAGTTCCAAATCTCTCTGTTCTTGTTCCTCGGCGGGCGGATGCTGATGAAGCTGTGGCGGGGGCGGTTGCAGATCGGGTGGCGGAGGACCGCCCAATAAAGGGTGACCTAAAGGAAGAGGCGACGATTGTGTTCTACCCAAAGGGCGGATAACGCCTCTCGTCTGAGGTTCCTGCAACTCACTGATGGTGTCAAGGGGGGTTTCTTCGTGTTCGCTCTCAATCGCGGGTAGGGAGGGGTAGAAGGGTAGCGTGCCCGGCAGCATTTGACCGGTCAAGGGCATGCCTGTAACAAAAATATAAAGAGGGTGTTTTTATATTTAGTTAGCCTGGATCTATTCCGTGTATAAACAAGCTTCAGATCAAAAATGCTGGGTGGCGTGATAAAATTTTGAAAACATGATGGATCGAAATTGTGACAATTGAAAAATTGGAGTATCGAATCATCATCGAGTATCTGAATTTCAAGGAGTTGAGCAGAAGATATTGCTTAATTCACTTGATGATTATTGCCATTCGTGTGCGACCTCGAAATATTGGATTGCAAAGAGAAACTAGTAAAAAACTAGTAAAAAATTTTTTTTTTCAAGTCAACAGTTATTTATAATATATAACTGATCTAATTTCTTCTGAATACAGGATTCAGTGGCACGAATGGTTTTTAAACTTCAGTACGAAGAACAGACTGTGAATGTGAAATGATGAGATTTTAATATACATTCTATTTATGATCCTAAACTGGAACAAGGGAAAAATTGGAATTCAACAAGTGAACAATTCAAAACAGCTGGACAAATGCCACATAAATTATTATTGACTTTATCGTTTTCTCATTTGCTATGATTGCTTCATTCAAGGGCGAGTTTGGGAATGGCTAGTGACCTATTTCTGTTGGATTATTGATTGAACTTGAACTAGAATTTTCAATTTCTCTTGCATGTATAATTATACCAAATAATAATCCTGGATTAACGATAATACAGAAGTAACAAACAGTAAAGACACAAATTATGAAGGAGTTTTCTAACATCATTAAAAGGGTCCAAAGACATTACAATTTTTCATAATACCAATCACTGTAAATCATAAAGAAAGCCAGTGGATCTTTTTGCCCACAGACGAGATTAATACGATCAGTTGTACAACAATTTAAGTATATTGTTGATCGTGACATCAACCGTATCTAAAACAAAAATAGCGGTTATTTTTGGATGATACTGAAAAAAAAATAAGCCGGCCGCCACTGGTCTTCGCCGATAGACTGCTACGTGATCGAAGGTGGACTTAACCCCAATTGTGTTGGGTTAAGCCCCACACAAGAATCATTGCATTACAAACACCACAACTGGCCAAACCATCACAGCAGAGTCCTGTTGTGAGGAAATCGACGAAATATACCGAAAATTGCGTCAGCATTAGCCGACTGTTCCACGTTCAAAAATTAAACTTATTGAGCGTCAGTTCTGCCTCACTTCGATAACTTTGTCATCGGTAGCACTTTCGCCAATCAAAACTAGGCAAAAACTTATTTCGTCGACTTCATCGAATTTGTAGCACACGATTGTTATGCTGACAGAATTAATCGACTTGTGTTACGTTGTCAAAAGTGCAATGATTCAAATGGCGCTCATTTCGATTGAAATGAATAAGTATTCAATGGGATATTAAAGTTCAAAGTAGGCTCATAAAAACGGACAACAATCTAATACAATACTTAAAACCAATTGTGATTCACCACTGATCCAAAGTTAAGTTACACGGGTAGGTTTTTGAATAGTTTCAGATAAGTTATATTCAACAAATTTAAACGATACTCTTGTTCTAGTCTTGCAAAGCGAGATTCATGTACATAGCAACACAATTATAATGATTGAAAGTGATACTTTTTAATGTTTTTGAGTAAACTGTAATACAACTAAATGCATTTCATTAAAAATTTGTCATCAGCTCCAATTGCATAAGAATTAAATTAACACCGTATATGAAATATGACGCACTTAGAATTATTGATCCGACCTATTTATTTATTGACTTCGGGAAATTTGATAATATAAATTATACCAAACAGGGTAAAGTGCGATGATTGCTTCCTTCCTTTCTTTGGAAGAGTCCCACATGTTTTTGTACAAAGATGGTGGAGTAGAAAATCAGGACCTTTCTTTCCAAAAAAAATTAACCCCTCCTAAAAATATACCCCTTTCAATTCAAGCAAGATTCTTTTGGCTGGGATTTGATCAAATGAGCGAATAAATGTCAATACGATGTCATCGATGAAATGAATAGATAATACTTATTTCGTGACATAAAGTCGTAATTTTATGAATGAATTGCGTGTTTTTTCTCATAATGTTATCCAGATTGGTACTAAAAAGCTGATAAGGCAAGTGTACACGTGGAAACATAGGATGTCTACCAGCGAGGATGACAGTGTTCCATGTAAGTGAAATTTTATTCCTTTCATTTACTATATTGTGTAGGAATCCTGTGAATGATACCTGATTCAATTCCATAACGAATGTTTGGAATACAAACTGAATAAAGAAAAGTGTTTTTTGTATAATTCAGTGTTCACATAAAAGTATTTGTTTCGAAATTATTTTTTTTTAGTGTGATGTAATGTTTATATGTTTCGGGAAGGCTTTTTTTCAGTTTATGTCTGAAAGTTACTTCTTTGCATGATCTACACATCTCTGTATAGAATAACTTTTTTCAAAATTGATTGCTTCCTTTTACATGTAGGAAAGCCAAAACCTCCCTTTCCCCCCCAAAAAAAAGGATTTATATCCTGAAAATTGGCAAACATCGATCTTTCAATATGCTTTATCGAATAAAAATAATGGCGTTTTTCCAACACTTGCAACACCCTTTATATTTTCACATTCTTGAATACCTGGCATAATTCTAATGCGAGTTTATGTAATACACCCTATACAAAAAACAAACCGTTCACGAGATATTCATTTGTTTACTCAAAAAACTAGGTATTCGGCTGTGGAGTAATTTCCTCATAAAATTCAAAAGTTTGATAGAATACATATATAAGCTATTATTGATTCATCAAAATACTTCATTCTATGGTCTCGTAGTAGTAAAATTTCCAAAATGTTATACAAGGTGTTCGGAATCGATGGCTAATTCTGAAGATATAAAAATGGGCCGAACCTCAAATAGAAGAGCCTGTTTTTTGGGATAATTATGAAATTCCGAGATGATTTCGACACATTCTAATCAAAGATCAACCGTTCACGAGATTATTCAGTTTTACTTGAAAAAATAAAAAATGCGCATAAAAACACGATTTCAGATGAATAAATACTGAATTAAATACAAAAATATTGCATTGTCTTTTCACACAGAATATAAAATCCATTTGAAAATATGTTCGAAGGCATTTCCGTTAACTTATATGCATTTATCAACTGTTTTCCAGTTAACCAGCTGTCGTTAACCAGCACAAATTCAAAAAATCATTGTTCTGGGTTTCATTGCGCTAATACAGACCCGCAAGATTTTTTTGTCAAATATCTTTCATATACAGACAGCGATCAGTTACACTTTTATTATGTGTATTGATTCTGCCTATAAATAGCTCATCATAGTCGAAACAAATATCCAACGAAAAGAACTAGTGTGGAAACCACTGACATTTCAACTCAACCGCTTCGTGTTTAGCTGCCAAACTGCCAGTGGCGTCATATCACACTGCTCGTAAAAATGCTATTGTTAAATTATGATTCTCGGTTAGTACCTAATTATTAAACCAATCCATGACATGTAAGATAAAAATTCACAACCTTTGCTCCTAGCACATTATTAATTTTATTTGCAAGAATTATCAATGCGTTCACAGAAAAATGTATTTTTCTTATACAGATCCTCACGAACCAGTTTCAATAATAGGTACTGAATAATTGAATGTATAATAAATAATTACCATTGTACAAATTAAATCTTTTGAAGAATGTCGTTCGGGAATAAATTTTTAGAATATATGAGAAGTATATTTTTTCAAGGACAAATCACAAGCACTATAGGACAATTCTTAACGCGCTCTAAGAGCGANAAACTATTCTGAAATCATTGAAAAATGCGTTTCTTTCATATCATATTATCATTTTTGTTATTTATATGCTATTTATTTATATATTTATAAAATAATGTTTGTATATTAGGATGTCCTAAGGAAATCAATAAATATTATTACATCGATATACATGTGCACAGTCACAGTCTATCGCCTGTCTCCTCTTTCCCCGTAAACCGCGCGCTCTTGATTCTAGCGACTTTAACACAATCTGTGTTGTAGATATTGGTGTTTGGTTTGTTGTGTTCATTAATTTTTTCGAGTCCATGGTGACGCTAGTCCAAGAAAGAAGTTAAATTCGACAATATTCACATAAGATTTTTTCCAAAATTCATTTGACATCACTTCATATTTTTTTACATAAATACATATGTATATGCATACCATTAGTTAGGAAAGTGACCGCCAAGTAAATTTTTGTTTCTGATTAGGAACCAGTTGCGTTTGTGATGGCAGATTTTATGTGGCAGCGGTTTTTACACCAATTCAATGGAGAATGTTCTCAGTAAAGTCATCTCTTTAAAATTGTAGTGGGCTACATACTTCGGAGTTGATCAAATTTATATTTTTCTAGAATTCATCCGTAACTTCGCCCCATCGACGGCTTGCTAGTCATTCAACCAATGTTCTCAATAGTAGATGCCGTCAGAGTTTATTGATACCTTTAACTCTATTTGAAAATATGAAGTTGGCAAAACAAATCAGACTGTGGGAATTGATACTGTTTCCAAAATGTCTGCAACGCCATCCCACAGACGGTCTTGGAGTCGTTTATATTAATAGGGATTGTTTTCTTCATTCAGAATTTGTAGATTCCGCATGAAGCATACCATCAGTCAATAATTTTATAAAAAAGTACAATTTTGAAAACACTTATGAATCATAAAGGTGACAGAGGGTTTCAATTTATTCACATTAACATCGCCTGGATGTTAATTAGTCTCGAAAAACCCTTCCACAGTGTCTGCAGCAATTACACCTTCACTGACCATGTACGCGGATCATCAACTTCATATATAGGTCCTGAACCAGCTCTGGGGGTATCAAAATCACTGGTACGAAACCAGATTAGGATATGGACCAATAAAAAGCACACAGAGTACTGGACAAAAGTATCTGGCAACAAACACAGTAGAACCTTCATTGGGGAACCGTCCGAGAAAAGAACCGAAGAACTACTTCAATATAGTAGGGACCGGCTCAGAATAATTACAGGGCTACTGAGCAGTCATTGACCGCTCAGAGAACACCTGAATAAAATGGGGCTGTATAATGGAGACCTCAGCTGCAGATTATGTAACGAAGGGATGGAAACAGCTCTACACATCTTATGCTAATGTGAGGCACTGAATTACAGGAGGCAGGCAATATATGGACGTACGAAATTACGCCCAGAAGAATATGACGAACATCTAACACGGAACCTTTACAAACTAGTACAGGGAACGAGACTGATGGAATGGGTGTCATGAGAAGATGGGAGAACAAACGCAATAAGCCCAAGAGGCTGCAGTGTTTCCTGGAGACTTAGATTAAATGGACAAGTCAGACAGCTCCCAAGGTTAATAAAAAAAACACTTATGAATCATAAAGGTGACAGAGGGTTTCTATTTATTCACATTTACATCGCCTGGATGTTAATTAGTCTCGAAAAACCCTTCCACAGTGTCTGCAGCAATTACACCTTCACTGACCATGTACTGCCTCAAAATATGATATTTTAATAGTTACTGTAATCTACAATGGAAAAAGATGTACGAGATGGTCCCAGAAGTTCCCCGGCTGACTTAGAGATGGCCTCAGCCCAACCAATATAAAGATTGAACTGGATTCTATTTTTGGTGAGTCTGCCCCTTCGTTTACAACAGTAAACGGTATCAGAGTTTAAACGAAGCCGTACGAGCTGTCAAGGCGAGCATCGCAGTGGTCGATCAAATGAGGTGAAGATTCCAGAAACGGTGAAGAAAATCCACAAAGCGGTACTGAATGATCGTCGACTGAAAGTGAGCAAGCCAGCAGACTCAGTAGGCATTTCAAAAAGTGCGGCACATCGTATATTATCTGAAAATTTGTACATGAGAAAGCTGTGTGCAAGATGGGTGCCGCGTTTGCTCACACTCATGCAAAAACAGTATCGTGTAGATGTTTCAATTGAGTGTTTAGCGAAGTTTCACAGCAACAAAGCAGACTTCTTGCGTCGTTCCATAACCATGGATGAAAGATGGGTGCATCACTTTACACCCGAGATAAAAGAACAATCAAAACAGTGGACTCAACATGGAAAATCGGCTCCAAATAAGGCGAAGACTGTTTCATCTGCAGGCAAGGTCATGGCATCGGTTTTTTGGGAAGCGCGTGGAATAATTTTCATTGGCTATCTTAAAAAAAGTAAAACTATCAACGGCGAGTAAACTTTTGCAACGTTTGAGTGAAGAAATCAAATCCATTGTCGCAATGACCAAAATTAACGAATTAAAGTTTGAATTGCTGCCTCATGCACCCTTCTCGCCAGATTTAGCCCCTCGAATTATTTTCTGTCCCCAAACTTGAAAAAATGGTTCAGATTTTCCAGCGATGAAAGAGTGATGTCGGCAGTTATTGGCGATTTTGAGGAGCAAGACAGTTCTTATTGTAAAAATGGTATCGAACTTTTGAACGCCTCTGGGAAAAGTTTACAGAACTGCAAGGAAATTATGTTGAAAAATAGGTACTCACCTAACCTAGCCGTACATGCCGCCCGTACAGCTGCTTCTGACAGATCAGGTGAAAGCACGTGATGGGCTGCTAGCGAGATGTTCGGCATAGAAGGGCTGCTGAAGAGTGCGTGCCTCTGGTACTCTTCGGACTCGCAGGGCGGACTCAGCTCCTTGGGCGGTTCTTGGGGAGGTGATTCACTAGGCGGGAGACACGAACTGAGCAGTTTCTTCTTGAGCGACGGCGGAAGCCGCTTGCTCATAGGGCTGCAGCGGCGTTCCATTACCCGCTGTTTCAGGCGGACTTTGAGCAGGTTTGGTTCGGAAGCTGAAACAGAAATGGAATGTTTGATTTTTGCGCAAAATTTTCACACTGACCTCAATTCAATTTGTGGTTATTATAAGATGCATATATATTGTTGTTGCGTTTAATAAATACCTACAAACTTTTCATATAAATAAGGAACCAATATCTGTTGAAAAATTTGTGTGTTAAAATCTGTCTTTCCGTTAATAAAAGGTAAAACTGGAACTAATATTGACGTTTTTTGTAACAATAATTTACTTTTTCGGGTAAAATACCTGAAAATGAAATCTATATCCTTTAATTTGTTTTCGTAGCTTGCTTTGTTTTCAGAAGAATAAAATAATAAATATAGTTTAAAAAAACTAAAAAACACGCTTTCAAAGAACATCGAACTAAAAAGTTAAAAATGTTTTTTAAAAGCTTAAAACAATAACGATCGAAAAATACTAGTATTATTGTGAAAAAGCGTGGGCGCTAGATAAACAAAAAATATGCCACAAACCGTCCACGCTTTTTTCACAATAATACTAGTATTTTTAGATAGTTATTGTTTTAAGCTTATTTTCAACAATGTTATTTTCAACTTTTTAGTTCGATGTTCCTTAAAAGCGTGTTTTTCAGTTTTTTTAAACTATATGTATTTTTACAGACAAAAAAAAAATTTCCTGGAAAAGTTCAGCACCCTATGTCTCGGAAACAATGTATTGGGGGACCCAAGTTTTTATGAACTTTTTTCATAAATTTAGGTCCCGAATATGCACTAACTTTCCATCGCAATTAGGAAACACTCGTATACAAACAATAACAAAGTGACTGTGTGAAAGTTTTCTTCCGAGTTTTTTGACTGTGTTGTGCAGGTTTTTATACCTGGCGTTTCGTCTACTACTGCGGTAGACATTATCAGAGGTGTATCGAAGGCAATGGTCGAGTTTGTAATGTCTAAGAAGCTTTAACCAATAAAAAATCTTTCAGTGATTTTTTAATTCGAGAATATTACCTTCATTAGATCAAGAAGTTTATTATATATTTTTATCCCAGCATAAGTTGGCAATTTTTCAAATGCGGGTGTTCTGTGAGTCATTGTTATTAAATTTGTAGCGTTTCTAGTGCAATATTGATGGTGGTAATTGTTTTTCATCAGCAAGCAACATTTATATATATTAATGCAGCAAACTGTCATAATCTTTTTACTTTCGAAAATTTCCCTGCAAGAATCACGTGGCTTCATGTTGAACATCAATCTAACAATCCGTTTTTGTGTAACAAAGATACTAATAATTTATGTAGCATTTCCCCATAACGTGATGTAAAATGATAGTGCAGAATATACTAATACATAATAAACTTGGATAAGAATATTCTCATGAAGTTCATACCTCAATTGCAGAATTGCGAAGTAGGATTTCGAGAGTTTTTTTTTGATAAACTTTCAATATGCTCATACCTATGAGAGTGTATTATCAATCATTACACCCAGAAACTTAGTGGAGTTATGTGTCTGAAGGACTTCACTATCGATCAGATTGTTCTTATTGAAATATATAATTTTTGTTTTCTGTGCATTCAGCATCAGTTCATTGGAATGACAATATTTTTTCATTTCACCAATACAGAGTCCAACCGATAGAATCATATCCTCCACAGATGATTCAGCTATACCAAATGTTGTGTCATCAGCAAAATTGATGAGATAAAAGCGCCTATCGACATTTATTGGGAAGTCATTGAGAAATAGTAAGAAAAGCAATGGTCCCAAAATTGAACCTTGCGCTACTCCAACATCAACTGAATATCTAACTGACTCAACGCCATCTAATTCTACAAAGAATTGTCTATTTTTCAGGAATGAAATGATCCAGTCAAAAATATTTCCTCTAATGCCAATATTATACAGTTTGTAAGCCATAAACACTTTATCAATACAGTCGAAAGCTTTTGACAGGTCGATATGTCCATATTCCTAGACATGAAATCAACAGAAAGAGTAGAAGCAGATTCAGTTGACCTGTCCATGTGAAATCCATGTTGAGAATCAGATAAAATTGTATGACTTATTAAAAATTTCACTAGTCTATTGTACATTAGTCTTTCTAATTTTTGAAAAAATACTGAGAAGACTGATTGGTCTATAATTACCCATTTCTGATCTATTACCACTTTTATGTTTGGCGATGACTTTACTCAATTTCAGCGCATCTGGAAATTCACCTGTTTCCTTTATAATATTTATGTTACGAAATGCAAGTAGGAAATATCAATAATTAGAACAGCATTCAGCAATACCTATAATCATTTCAACTCACCTGTTTTTCGCAGTGGAAAGTCGTTGTTGGTGGTCGAACAATCTGATCCCGTATCCATCCCCTCTGACCTGAAACAATACAAAATACATTAATAAATTTATTACGAGTAGTAGATATTCTTCATGAAAAATGAAAAAATGGGAAGACAATGTCGTCTCCTCAGGAGACGACATTAAAATAAGTGTACAGAAGTTCGATATTTTACGAGTGTTTAACACTTAGTACCGTCTAATTCAACGATATTTTCCGACACGAATAAATATGTTATATTTGAGTTTGTTTCATATAACGTATATTTCACGTTCATTAATAAAAATCACTATTTTCAACTATTTTTTTTAAAACACAAGCACTACAGGAAAATCTTTAAGGCGCTCTCTTAGAACGATGCCTGTGCGAAGGTAGCGATTCACATTAGATTTGAATCGCTGGAGATTAAATGCATTTAGAAAAAAGCTCTTTTCTGGATGGAATCCAGCAATCTCAGGGTATTTTTGGGGACAGAGATTAGGTCAAAAGTGACTGGGTCTATTCGACCTCCAACCCGCAAGAGTTTATTGTGGCTCACATATCTATTCACACTCGCCCAAATAAATCCAGCTTCTTAACGAAGCCGATTAGTTTATATGATGAGTGGTCTTTCAGGTCAGATGGTAAGGGTGAAGCTCTGCTAAACTCTTAACATCTCATTCGGGCCGAAGCGGGGCAGTCACAAAGTGCTGTTTCATAATTTTCCGAACAGAGGCGACACATACTGTATTTATTTTTTTATTTAGAAAAAACCACATCAGCCGTAGCTATTAGCGGCAAACATATAAAATTTATCTAAAACATGCAGTTCTTTACATTACAGTTTAAATAAAAGGTTACATTCTTTAAAAAATTCAACAATATTGTTGGTATTGGTATTTTGGAAAATTTCACTTAGTTTGGAGGGAATTTTATTGTTCAGTCTCTCAACTGTGAACAGTGAGCACTCTACNCTTGACACCCGGTTTGACGAAAAAAACTTCACGTTATAGTTTTCCAGGCCGTCTGAGGGGGTGAAAATGTGATGGAAACTTGAAAAAATCATGTATTCAAAAATTGAGTTTGTACACCTACAAGATTAAGAGATGTTATTACTGACACCCGATTAGGCGAGAAAAACTTCACGTTATAGTTTTCCAGGCCGTCTGAGGGGGCGAAAATGGGGTGGAAACTTGAAAAAATCATATATTCAAAAATTGAGGTTGTACACCTACAAGATGGCCACAGCTACAAAATGGCGTATTACATTATTTTTCACAACTACCTCAATGTGAGTATCAAATGACAGTGCTTGACTAGTACTATGGCTAAATATAATACGTCGTTTGCGATACACCACCCAAGTTAAAACATGCCGAGAACTGTGTGGAATTAGGGTGGATACAAATTAGAAACTAAAAACTTGAAAATAAAATAAGTAAAAAAAATGTATTAAAAACAGTTTCATTGAAAAATGTACTAAAAAATTATTCGGAAGGTCCTAGGTAGCAGTCATCACACCACTCTTCTCAGCAATCTACGGTATTGTTCAGATTGAAAAAAAGAATAAAATCGTTGGGCATAACCTGAGTAAATATGTTAATACTACGCCCAACGATTCAATTATTTTTTTATCTGATCAGTACGTAGATTGCCGAGAAGAGTGGTGTGATGACTTCTACCTAGGATCTTCTGAATTATTTTTCAGTTTCTAGTACATTTTTCAATATAACCGCTCACCATATTTTTTACTTTTTTCATTTAAATATCTATATGAATTACTTTTACAGTTTTTAATTGCCGAAGAAAAACTCCTGAAGAAAACGACATATTTATCAAATGTACAAATGGTTTTATTAATAAAGGAAGAACTCTTTTCAGTATAAATATCGGAATGTTATCTGGACCTGACGATTTTTTATTTTCAAGTTTATCAATAAAGTGAATGCTACGAAAGGCAGTAGATGAAAGAGACTTTTCTACTTATCAATTTATAATGGGTCTAGTTATTTTATTACAATCTGGATACAAATATACTTCACTTAAATATTCTAACGACCTACTGTGTAGCTACGTTGGGAGAGATGAATGTTTCGAAATTCTATAGGATCTTTCTTTAAACGCTTCCTAACTAAATTTAAATAAAACAAAATGTGTGTGAGATATTGACATTTTTTATTTGTTTGAGAGATCTATTGATGCCATTATGTGTGGAATATAACATCGTTCAAATGTCCGCCTAGGCTTCTCTGGGTGTGGCGCATCCGAAACGTATAATTTTCCATGACTCTGGCGCATGAGTTTGTCTGAATTTAACCGATGGCATGGGTTATGTTGGGTTTTAGGATCGCTGAGGTTTGTGGCTTATTCGATTACACCTGCGACTTATGAAGATCCCACAAAAAAACTCCCACGGTGTCAAATCGCGCGATCTTGGTGGCCATTTCACATCACCTCCAATGCCCTCAAATCGCTCAGGCAGAATATACAATGTGGCATGAGCTGTGTGGCACGTAGCGCCGTCCTGTTGAAACCACATGCCGTTGGTGTCCATATCATCTAATTCATGCCAAAAGAAGTTGGTAATCATCGACCTGTAGTGCTCGCCGTTGACAGTGATGGCTTGACCGATGTCGTTCTCAAAGAAATATGAACCAATGACGCCGGCAGCCCAAAATCCACACCAAACTAACATTTTCTGGATGTATTGAACTCTCTTGGATCTCATATGGATTGGTATCGTCCAAATCCGACAATTTTGTATGTTCACGTACCCATTTCTCAGAAATGAGCCTCATCGCTGAAGATGATTGTTTGATGAAAATTAGGGTCAGTTCTCTGAATGGGCTCCAGCGCCCATTCAGCGAACACACGTCGTTGTCAATGGTCGTTTACCTTCAGTTCACGGGTCAGTTGAATTTTGTACGGGGGCACGACGCAAAATTCGCTGTGGTCTGCGAGTTCTTGTGAGCGACGCCAAATCGACTGCCTCGGATTTTCCTGCACACTTTCACAGACAGCGGCAATGTTTTCGTTGAAGTTTACTGAATCAGTGGACTCAAATTCATCCATAACCTTGCGAATAGTTCTCTCAATAGAACAATTATGGCGACCGTAAAATGGGCGGAGCGCGCGGTACATTGCCCGAATAGAACTGCCATTTTGATAAAGGAATTTTATTATTTGCACATGTTGTTGAATGCTGTATCGATTCATGATAATTTGGCGAAAGCAACTGAATAAAGTCCCTGTTGGAAGACTCTATATTTCGAAATATTTATTTTCTTACGAAAGGAAAAACAATATTGGGTGTTTGATTCAGAAAAAACCAATAATTATAATTTCGGGTGCCATATTTTTGATACTCAGCGTATACATACAACTATGAGAAATCTTTTGAGATTTGTTATATCAAATCATACAACAACATTGAATGTTTGAAATGTACAGTTATGTGCACCCATGGAACAGTCGCTTGAAAGTTATTTATTACTCCGCTGCTTAAAGGAATATACTATAACTCTATATTTACCTCAAGTAGGACATATTTCAATATATACAAAAATATTACATTAACTAATGAAAGATTACACTGTTTTCTATTTGATTTTCATTTCTCACTTCTCTACTTGGTTTCAAATCTGTACATTCATGTAGGCCAAATATTCATAATTCAACGATAAACATGGTCAACCACATTCAAATCAATCATTTCCATTTTTCATATCCTTGGCTACTAGTATAATGTATGAAGTAAAGCTAGTTTGCATAACATTATTATCGATCGCGATTCTCTGAATGTGACACTGTTATCAAAAATAATTTCTATTAATCGCTATTAGTATTGCAGTTGAACAAGTTATTCTAAAGTAATTTGTTTATTTAATGATAATATGCAATGTTCTATCGAAACTTAAACAGATTCAAATATTCAATGGCAAAACAGATTTTTTCAAAATTTCAAAATTCAAGCTGAAAATTTCTTTGTCGCAAAAAATCAATCACTTGAACACAGTATAGCCAAACCCAGTAGTGTCACTCTGTCACTACTGCCCCGGCTTCGCAAGGGTGTAATGCTAATACTAAATATAAATTCACCCACCGGAAATTTAGGGGAATGAAGAAACAGCAATCTAAACTATAATAAATATGACTATATCACTGATATAACTTGTTTTTTAATTAATTATATTACACAGTTTTTATGGCTGAATCATTTACTTTTCAAACCTACGAAAGCGTTGAAGGGCCACACAAAAATATTTTTTTCGATTTGTATAATTCTGACTTTCATCTCAAAATTCTGACTTGTAAGTCAGAATTCTGACTTGTATCTCAGAATTCTGACTTGCAAGTCAAAATTCTGACTTGTATCTCAGAATTCTGACTTGCAAGTCAGAATTCTGACTTGTATTTCAGAATTCTGACTTGTATATCAGACTTCTGACTTGTGAGTGACTTGTGTGTGCCAGTCTTCACTTACCTACACAGTAGTTTAATGGAGTGAGATCGTCAGAACACAACTACTCCCCTGGCTAATACTACGAAAGGCGTGGGATTGTATCCGATAGGTGTCAGTGCAGGATTCTTCGCAGAAGAAATGCCTGCATATGTTTTTGGCGATACCGCAATTGTATCTCCAGTTATATCGAAAGAAGCGATTCAAACAATGAGAAAAATTTCATAATCTTCATATTTTGATAAATGCAAAAAACTGCCTTATAATACTGAATGTATCATTATTATTCCCTGAGATACAAGTCAGAATTCTGACTTGTATCTCAGAATTCTGACTTTGTAGTCGACTAGCTTTATGCCTGTATCGTTGTCCGAGTTGATCTGTTATTCAACAGATAAAACGTCCTACCATAGTGTTTATTGTAGTATTTTGAATCAGTATTTATTACAGTATGTTGTTCTGGGTAGGATGCCAATCATCACTCTCAAAAAAACNCAGAATTCTGAGATACAAGTCAGAATTCTGAGATACAAGTCAGAATTCTGAGATACAAGTCAGAATTCTGAAATACAAGTCAGAATTCTGACTTGCAACTCAGAA